CACTGGGTGGTGTTGAGCAAGTAAAAATCATGGCTAATAAATAGCTGGCTTGTGTTTTGTATGTTTTGTTTTTCAGCAGAGATTCTGACTACCCTTCCTGACCATAAGTCTGGGCAGCAGCAACAGCCACCCGGTGGAGGCCTTCGCCATCACATGTCACTGAGTCATCCGGAGTAATCTCAACAACCAGTTACCAACACTTGCTCTTGAGGGATAAGCAGACAATGGGGCTTTGGATCTTGGCAATTCTGACAGTTCTCATACATTCCACAGCAGCTGCATATAGTAAGTGTTGCTTTTAGACTAAAATCTAAGTTGCTTAAAAGTAAGTAATTTAAAGAACATTAACCTTGTTTTAAACTGGTTCCTTCCAATTGTTCCAGCTGAATTGTAAACTGGAAAAAAAAATTTTTTTTTTTGGCTCTACAGTCATTCTTTGTTACAAATCTATCAAGAAATTCTTCAAAAATAAATGTGGTGCTCTGCGGTGATGTCTGGAATCCTGCTCACAGCGCCAATTGTCTAGCTCTTAATCCTGTTCATGACGCCAATTGTAAAGCTACTCGACCATGCCAATTGTCGGGCTCTTTTACCTGCTAGTAATCCTGCACCGACTGGGCCGATTGTCAAGCTAAGGCTGGGTCTGGAGCCCACAGACCCCCCAAGCCTGTTCACAGACTGGGTCACAAACCCTTCATATGCCAGGCTGGGTCACCAGACCTCACACACGCCAGGCTGGGTCACCAGACCCCTTTGTGGAGCTCTGCTAAGCTACGGCTAATGTCTGGGATCCTGTTGACATCATCAATTGTAGTGCTCTTATCCTGTTCATGATGCCAATTGTCTAGCTACATGACCACGCTAGTTGTTGGGCTCTTTTACCTGCCGGTAATCCTGCTTACTGGGCCAATTGTCAAGCTAGGGTTGGGTCTGGAGCTCACGGACCCCTCAAGCCCGTTCACAGACTGGGTCACAAACCCTTCACATGCCAGGCTGGGTCACCAGACCCCTTACACGCAGGTCTATGAGCTAAGTAACTGGCCAAAAAGTCCTTGGAGCCATAGGTTGGAAAGCATGGCTGCGCCTGGCAGATGCCTGAGGCAGACACCCACCTTCCTGCTTCACTAAAACTCCTCTCTCTCTTCTGCTCTCTCTCTCTCCCTGAAGAACACAAGAATAGCAACAAAACTAAAAAGATACATTGGTGCGCATGCACACTAACTCCACGCACACACACACACACACACACACACACAATTTGCTTACAAAGGATGTGCTAAAACCATACCCAACTGGACTTGAGGTGAGGGCCCTGACCAAACTATTCTATTTTCCCAACAGGCTGGGTCACCAGACCCGTTACATGCAGGTCTATGAGCTAGGTAACTGGCCAAAAGGTCCTTGGAAGCTGCGAGTTGGAAAGTATGGCTGTGCAGGGCAGATGCTTGAGGCAGATGCCTGCCTGTCTGCTTCACTAAAACTCCTCTCTCTCTTTCTCTCTCTAATAGCAAGAAAACTAAAAAGATACATTGGCACACATGCGCACTAACTACACACTCACACACACACACACACACACACACACAATTTGTTTACAAAGAATGTGATAAAACCATACCCAACTGGACCTGAGGCGAGGGCCCTGACCAAACTATTCTGTTTCCCAACAATCCACTCCTTCAGGATCCTCACCATACAATCTATGCGTTCAGAATCTTCCCTGATGTTCCCTTAGTGAGGATAAATGACCCTTACATTTACAAACTACACATTCCATCCCAGTCCCAAAAGTCTTTAACTTGTTGCAGCACCAACTCAAAAGTCCAAAGTCTCCTCTGAGACCAAAGGCAAAAGTCGTTCCAGCTGTGAAACTGTAAAGAGTCAAAAACAAGTTTATCTACTTCCAAGATACAATGGGACAGATTTTGGGTACACATTCCCATTCCAGAAGGGAGGAATAGAAAGGAAAACAGTCCCCAAACAAATCCAAAACCCAAACAGGGCAAATGTTTAGCACACTGGGGCACCTGAACCCCTAAAGTGTTGGGCAACCTCACTCCTACAACTCTGCCAGGTGCAGACCATTGAGCTGCCCTGGTGCCTGCAGCTTTTCCAGGCTGGCACTGCACATTACCAGCAGCCCCATAGTTCTGGGCTCCTGGTGGCAGTCCCGCCATCCTGACTCCACTAGACATTTCCTCAGTGGAGGTTCTTTGTGGGGTCTCCACACCACTTTTCTGCTCCACATTGCTCCATGGATGACCTCCACAGCAGCTCCACCCCTGCAGCAGGTCTCTGCCTGAGTCCCCCAACTTTTTCATACATCTTCCGAAATCTAGGTGGAGGCTGCCACTCCACTGCTCTCACATACTGCTGGCCTGCAAACTTAACACAACGTGTTAACACAAGGTTTTCAGCTTTTTTTCTTCAGAGGTGCTGAGGCAGAATTGCTCCAGCCAGAGTGGCTGGGATGCAGGGAGTAGTTTGCTGAGGGCAATGACACCTCAGGTCTGTCCTCCAGGACAAACTCAGTTCTCGTAGGATGGGAGGGGTGCCTCCCAAGCTTCTCAAACACCCTAAGGGCCTGTAATGGGTGGGGCACCCATCCAGACTTCTCAAATGTGTTTAGGGCTTTCCCCCCATTGTCTTGGCTCTTAGCATCCGGCTGCCTCAGTCCAAGATAATGTCTTTAGCAAGCAGTTTATCTGCTTCACCCTTGCATTTTTCTCCTCCGCTTTTCTACCGCATGGCCAGGCTGCAAATATTCCAAATCTGCATGCTCTGCTTGCCTTTTACATTCTGGCTTTTGAATTACTTCAATCAGCTCAGCTTACACTGGCTACTCACTCAGTCTCAGGCAGTTCAGCAGCAGTTGCCCACACAGTTCAAACAGCTGCATTCACGCAGTCCATCAAGGAGTGACTGCCCTGCCACTGTGCATATCCACAGCCATTCTGCAGCTGCTGCCTCAGAGACAGGTGCGTAGTAATAGAGACTGACTTTTCCACCTTTTCACCAGGTGAAAACATGCTTGAAATTCTGCAGGGGCACCCGTCCTCAGGTCATCTGCCCATCTGTACGTGGCACTCTTTTCTCGGGTTTTATAGCACTCAGCCAGCCATTAGGTTTAAGTGGCACCCTCCAAGCCCTTTGCCTTCAGACAAATGCAACTTGTGTTTACTACATAGTCTCTAGAGCACGCACGTTACACCATCCACCCCTAGGTCTCATAGCTGGAGCTGCCAGGGGCTCTCCCTGTTTCTGCTGCTTTACCATCTCAATTTCTCATGCACAACAGGTCATGCCTGGAGACACACAATTTATCCCAACTTATCACTGGGTTGGTCGTCTTCCCTGGTGTGAGAAGCAGGAGTGGCCAGTCGCTGCATGTCATCCTCCAGGACATTTATCCATGCTTCCAACAACTCTGCTTTCTGCCACAAATCTTGATCAGTTTGCAATAGCCAGGCTCTGGTCAGCAGAAAAGTGGCCACCGGGCACCACATGCTCAAGGATAGCCACATTTCCTCCTTCTTCCAAGGGCTTTCAGCTCCTGTACCTGATCAGAATCCTGTCGCAGACTACGCCAATGTGGCGCTCTTAATTCTGCTGACTATGCTAATTGTGGCGCTCTGCAGCAATGTCTGGAATCCTGCTCATAGTGCCAATTGTCTGGCTCTTAATCCTGTTTGTGATGACAATTGTAAAGCTACTTGACCATGCCAGTTGTCGGGCTCTTTTACCTGCTGATAATCTTGCACTGACTGGGCCAATTGTTGTGCTAAGGCTGGGTCTGGAGACCACAGACCCCTCAAACCTGTTCACAGACTTGGTCACAAACTCTTCATATGCCAGGCTGGGTCACCAGACCCCACACATGCCAGGCTGGGTCACCAGACCCCTTACATGCAGGTCTATGAGCTAGGTAACTGGCCAAAAGGTCCTTGGAAGCCACAAGTTGGAAAGCATAGCTGCACAGGGTGGGTTCCCGAGGCAGATGCCCACCCACCTGCTTTACTAAAACTCCTCTCTCTCTCTCTCTCTCTCTCTCCCTCTCCCCGAAGAATACAAGAATAGCCACAAAACTAAAAAGATGCCTTGGAGCACATGTGCGCTAACTATACACACACACACACACACACACACACACACACACACACACACACACACAACTTGCTTACAAAGATTGTGCTAAAACCACACCTAACTGGGCCCGAGGTGAGGGCCCTGACCAAACTATTCTATTTTCCCAACAATAAATATATCATAATTGTAGTTTTACATATTCAAATATGTCAGAATTTAACACAGTACCTGCAGGTAGGAGTTGTTTAAGGCATTGTTGCTTGATGCAGGATTTGTTTAGGTAGACATGTCTGCTTTTCCACTGGAGCAGTGTTGGGGATTTAGCTCCAAATTAATTCATTTATCTATGGTACCCAGAGGAACATTTCATAAAAGATCTTAATTATTTACTCATTTTTTCTCAGAGTATCACAATATATACCCATTTCTAAATTTAATCTTAGAAGGAAATCTTAAGAATATAGGAATTATCTTCTTATATAATCATTTCAGGATCATACTTATATTTTTTATTTGCAGCTAAACCATTCTGGGGCCTGGAAATGAAGATTTGATTGTGAGATGTCCTAAACAAGGAAGATCTCGTTACCCTGTGGATTGGTATTACTCACAAACAAATGAAAGTATTCCCACCCAGAAAAGAAATCATGTATTTGCCTCAGGGGAACATCTTAAGTTTCTACCAGCCAAAGTCAATGATTCTGGGATTTATACTTGCATTATCAGAAGGTATTATCCAGAAGTCACTATTGTCTTTGAGCTACCTCCCTTTCTTTAATGGCCAGTAGTCTGACTGCTTTCCCTTTCCTTCCTTTTCTAGTCCTTTATGGAACAGTTTAATTTATAAAGTGATTTGAATAAAAGAGTACTTCTAGGAATATTGTCAGATTGGGGTTTAGTTAGTTATGAGCTAACTATTGGGATTTATAATTGCAGGGATAAATTTGTTTCCTAGTTAGGAAAAGACCTGGCTTTCCTAGTGGCCAAGAAAACCAGGAGGAATTGCTCACTTTCGGCTGGAAGTCATGACAAACCAGCACAAAAACCAGTAACCTAGACATTTGGCATCTGGGAGGTCTAAGGTGGATGAAAAGAGCGGTTACCACTGCCTCCAACCTTAGAGTTAAGCTACAGGGCATTACATGAGATTGTGTGCTTACAAATGACTTGCTCTGTATATAAAGTCTTAACCGTTTTGATTTTGTGCCTGTATTTGCTACCTACAAAATGTCAGCTGAACTACATCAAAAGGCAGAATGTATATAGTCAGGTATCTGGGTTCTGAGTCCAGACAGGTGTCAGTTTCAAATTTGTGCCCTGTCACTGGGTAGCTGTGTGATGCTGGCAGGTTACTTCTCTGCCCCTCAGTTTTCTCATCTGTAAAATACATGTAATAATATAACCCCAAAGCCTTGCTGTGAGAGTAAGATGAGGTAATGTATGAGAAGTGCTCACCACCATGACTGGTACATGGTAAACTCTCAGCAAATACTAATTATCTTTATTATACTGGAATTGTGGCAATACAGAACGTCTAATGCACGAAAAAATGGTGCAGTCATTTTTAGAGCTACCGTAGGGGGTTACGTTTTATCTCAAGGGAATCGAAGAAGTATTTCAAACTCTAGATTGTAAGGATTATTTTTAAATAAGAAGGAACCACTATATATCAAGTGTTTTAAGAATAACAATATTAAGTAAAGGCTAAAGTTAGATTAAGTTATTTCATAACGTTAAGTGAGTCTTTTTCCTTGTCTGACTTATTTTAATAGTCCCACCCTCAATCTTACTGGACATGCAAATGTCACCATACATAAGAAACAACCAGATTGTGACATTCCAGATTATTTGATATTTTCAACAGTATTTGGATCAGAAAAAAATTCCAAAATATATTGTCCTACAATTGACTGCTATAATTGGACAGCACCTGTTGAGTGATTTAAGGTACAAGGAAATTTGGGGGAAAATAGATAAAAAGTACACAATTAAAATAGATGCACAGGAAGAATTACTAAAAAGGGAATGGAATTTTTCATTTCAGAATTGTCAAGCTCTTCAAGGACAGAGGTTCAGGGCATACAGGTCATTTTTGGTAATTGACAATGTGACAAGTGATGACGAAGGCGACTACACCTGTAAGTTCACACACAATGAAAATGGAGCCAATTACACTGTGACAGCTACCAGATCATTCGCAGTGAACAGTAAGACACTAACTTTAGCAAAACACAGTATTTGAAAACAGACAAAGTGGGAAGAGTTGTGCCTTCTGGGTGAGTTTTCTGCACTTCTCTCCGGTACTGGATCCTGCTCCATCTTGTCTTACGTGTTCTCTATCTGCTATGACACAAGGAGGTTTTCTGAGTGCACTATCAAATTATAAGAAGTCTTAGGGGGAGATTACACCACCAACCCAAAGCCACATCTATTCTTTCTTTTGTAACTTAATTTTCCAAAGATATGGCTACTATCTGAATGCTAACATGATTTACATTTTTTTTTGAAAGGCAATACAACTATTTGGAGGATAAGAGTAACTTTTCTTTACCCAATTTGGTGTCACAGATTCTGTAAATAAAGGGAAAAAAACCCCAGAATTTAATCTTTAATATAATGCATTGGATTAGAAGTTTAAAGAGCAGATTTATAATGGGGCACATAAATGATGTTGAGCAATTTTCAGTCCTGGTTTGCAATGCTTTTGACATCACCAGTGACCTCAAATAGGTCATTTAGTTCTATAAAACTTTTTTCAAATTTATTTTACATTTATAAAAGTCCCTTTACGGGAAACACTTTATAGTCATAGCTTATCAAATCTACAAAATGTTGGGGTCTCCTCAGCACAGCTTGCTGTGTACACGTAGATGACGTAGCACCTTTGCATGTGGCAATTTTCTTAGGGCACAGCAGTATGGGAGGAAAGTTTTTCTGTCTGAGGGTTTTCAATGCTGCATTGCTGCAAAATAAGCATCAGCAGACCACACGCTGTTAGTGCCTCTCCCTGTCTAACATCAGCCCCTGCGGTGGTGCTTAATCACACTATCCTGAAATGAAAGAGCGTCCACGGGTGCAGATGTGCGGCCACGCTCCAGAAGCCCACGTTCTCTGCCACTCAGCCTCCGTGGCCACAGGAAGTACAATTCTCCAAGGGCAGAAGACCTTCTGTGCTGAGGATGGGCCGCAGGGGTGGGCACTGTGATCTCATGCATTTATCATTTTCATGGGCCTTTTGAAATCTTCTTGCCTGTAGTTTTAGCTTTATTCTGTAGAATTGTGGTTTTCTAACAATTACAGGTTCATGCGATTCACTTAATGGGTTGGACCAGCATTTGTTTTAATGACATAGAAGAGAAGAGAAAAGATCAAAGAGCAACATAGGGAGTAAGAGAAAGTATTATTTAAATGTTTTTTGTTTCGTGTGTGTGTGTGTGTGTGTGTGTGTGTGTGTGTGTGTGTGTGTTGCCCTGGGTTATTGTCAAAACATTGTGAGAAACTTCCTGTGAAGTAAAATACAAATATGAAAATACAAGCTTTATATTGATGACCATCCAGTGCTTTCCTGATA